CTTTTTAGAATTATGATGCATTTAGAAAGAAAGTTCTAGTGGATTATTTTAAAATAAATGAAACAGAAATTAAGGGATAATGTAATGTGTTACTTCAACTGCTTTGAAATACAATTTCCCTGGAGAAATATTAACTTGGAACACAGCTCATTGTCTTTTCACACTTCTAGTGGCTCAAAATGTCTGGCTCTCAGCAATGCTCGCTCACTTGCCCTTGTTTATTTCAAGCTCTGTTAATGAGCGACTGTTTCTAGAACTTTATTGTTTTGATTACAGCTGATGGGCAGTCCAGTGTCCATTCCCCTGGTACAGCACGTGAGATGCAAATATGTATTTAAACCCAGAACAGGAAACACATCATATTCATTTTATTTTAGCCTCAATTCTGAATCTGTAATTCCCTAATCTTTTCTGAAAAAAAGATATAAACACATTCCCAGAAAGTATTATCTTTTTTCACATTAACTGCTTCTTTTACCAGCCCGAAGAAGTTCAAACTTTAAAATAGAGTACAAAAAAATGAATGTACAACTGAATACAACATCGGGAGTGATTTTGCTTGGATTTATCTACAGTGTTGATGAAAGGGGAGCTATTATCCCCATTTTAGTTTTCTTTTTGTTTCTCGGGTTTTCGGCAAATGGTCTTATAATTTTTATTGTCTACTCAAAAAGCTACTTGAGAACACCAAAGAACATACTGATCTGTAACCTGTGTGCTGTAGATCTTTATGGCATAACTACTACCTGTCCTTACCTGATTATCAGGTTTGTTCTGGGAGATCTTAGCCCAATGGATATGAAGTTATGTTTGTTGCAGTACTATTTTTATGTCACATACAGCTGCTTGTCTGTTTTTATTGTGACCTTGATGGCAGTGGACAGGTACTATGTCATTTGTAACCCTTTCGAGTATGAAATGACAATCACAAATACAAAAGCTGTGCTGTCCTGTGGAATCTCTTGGCTGTTTGCCATTTTTTATCCAATGATCTACTCTTTTCCTTACATTGGACATGAATCCTGCAGGTTGGTGTTGTCCCCCAGCTTCATGTGTACAGGAATCTCTCTGGAAGAAAGTATGTGTATCTCTACCACATTTCAGGGGGTCTTCAGGCTGTTTATGTTCACAATCCACCTTTTAGCTTGTTTAGCCATGGTGGGCTTCTCCTATGTCAAGATCTTAATGGAGTCTCGGAGTGCCCGTCTCACTGAATCCTCTCGCAAGGCTCTTAATACAGTGGTTACCCACAGCATCGTACTTGCAATCTTCTTTGTTTCATCATTGCTCTTGATTGTTACAGGAAGTCTCCATGCAGACAATGGCAAGGCAGTAATAGCTATTTTGAGAATTGCCACAGATCTAATCTATTTCAATGTGCCTACCACCTTCAATCCTATCATTTATGGCTTAAGAAATGAAGACATAAGGAAAGAGTTTCTTAAGATTTTTAAAAGAAACAAGAGCCAGACTCTCCACAGTATTATGAACAGCAAGACAAATAACCTGTTTGAATCAGAGAAAATCTCACACTTACTTGAAGCTGTTGGTAAACGTCAGCAGTTTCGCCCATTACCAGCTCCTGTCATTAAAGTAATGCCTTATCCTGGTACATAAAAAGGTGAAACATACAAGAATGCCTGCACTGAAGGCTTTTTGGAATACATCACCTCTTGTAAGTGTGCTTGTGGCTAAATTTGATTGCATGATAATTAAAAGAAATTGGATAATCAGTTGAAATAGAACTGGATGAAGATATTGCTACATTTCTTATAATGTGCCTATCTCATCATAGTTTTTTGTGTTTTTAGAAAATAGAAAATTCAGGTTTTTTGTAAAGTTAAGTAAGGAAGAGAAGCAGCAGATGTTACTTATACATGGTAAAAAAAAACAACTAATGTTTGTTGTCAATAAATTACTAACAACTGAATTTGTTAAGGAAACAGTGGAAATAAATCCATAAAATGTGTAAAATGAAAGGGTTAATTACTGACCAAATGAAGAAAACATAGAAACTCATAAATAAAACATCAACATGATGGATTATATTATGAATGTGCTAATAATGTGTTAGCCATGTCCTGTTCCAACACAAGAAATGTGAATGATCAGCTTTTTATCATTACCGTATATAGTGATGATGTCTCAGTATCATACAGGCAGGTATTAAACCATGTTCTGCTTTCTGTGTATTGCAATTCTTTAAGCATTACTTTCAATGCCTGAATACTGACCTAAACACCACAAAGTACAAAAAATCTGAATTTTACATTTCTGTTCTCAGACAAAATAAAAAAAACCTCTTTCATACTAACACATTTGTCCTAGTATTTTTACAATGTTTTTTATTGCTATAAACTCTATTCATAGTATATAAATAGAAATGTAGACTGGTTCGTGTCCTAGAGTTAGGTCATTTTTAATGCTTTGCTGCCCCCACGAGTGAAAACGTAGTTTTTTTTTAAAGAACTGCTGTGTAAGGTAAATACTTAAAGTATTGTTTAAAATGTTTTGAGGGACATTAAATATTTAAAGCATTATTCGTAGAAAATTATTCAGATTCAAAAGAAATAGAGGAATACAGAACATGTTAGAAAACCATTGCTCTGCATCTGTATATACAAGTATTGTAATATGCTACAACAACTTCATATGTACCCACCACACAGTGCACAAAATATTTAAGACAATACATGTTTGCATTATGGCGTCCCCTACTGTTCCTAGTCTACGAGACTACTGGGGAAATTTCACCCATCGTTTCAAATACAGTACTGTGCAGTGAAACTACGGTCATTTAAAACACACTTGACGCGTTCTGATATTAACATGGCAAACCCGAAAAGGCATAAAACTGAAGCATTTTGAATCAAATAATTCTGTTACAAATAGCAGGCAAAGTCAGAGCAACGTTAAAAGTGTTTAGACAATATACTGTATCTGTGTATCCGCAATGGCTTATCACAAACAAGAAATACTCTTTACACAGCGTACTCAAGATTTTTTAATATGCCTGTTCTGAAAGGGAATAATATGCGAATAACCTAAAATCTCGAAAACTCTCTATGAAATACGTAGATGTTCTTCATTCAAGGTTTCTTTCATAAACCTTTCCATGAACGTGAAATTAGACATCACGTTCCTTGCGAGTGGTATGCAATACATTTACAAATTCCGATATGCAGTAAACCCTATGATAAAGGCAAAAAATAAGCTAGAGAAATTTCAAACACGTTCGCAGAAAAGTAAAATCTCTGTAGGCTACTCCTCACCTTTCCGCTTTATTCATATAAAAACTATTTTCCCCTCTCTTACACAAACACTCAAAACAAAGACCAACAGGATGTCCATCCTGATTAAAATGGAAATGTTATATACTGACATTCCTGCTATCAATAAATTACTAACAACTGAATTTGTTAAGGAAACAGTGGAAATAAACCCATAAAATGTGTAAAATGAAAGAGTTAATTACTGACCAAATGAAAAAAACATAGAAAGTCATAAATAAAACATCAACATGATGGACTATATTATGAATTTGCATGCAGAAAAGCATTTAATAAACACCTGACTTTAAGATGAAAAACACTCGGTGGCAAGAATGTCACCTGTTTGTCTCTCTTGAGCTATGCAGTTGTTTGCATTACTAAATATTTTACTCAAGACAAAGAGCGCATCGGGAGCAGTTCCTTGCTTTTCCACAAGCAGGAGTTAACACAAGTACAATTTTTACTAAGATACAGTACACATACTGTACACAATCAAACAGTTATTGTCTTTCAGGGAATTTCTCACACTGACAGACTGAAGGAACTGAACCTTTTTCAGTCTTGAATAGAGTAGATTAGGTGACATGAAAGATGTATTAAATCTCCTGAAGGACATTGACAAAGTCAATACAGTGAACCTGTTCAGTATTAAGAGTGACTTTGTAACCAGGAAATACAAGTGGAAATTCTATGCTTGTGTATTTAAAACTGAGAAAACTAGGCACTTCTTTACACAAATAGATGTGGGAGTATGGAACAAGCTACCCAACCATGTTAGCATATTGTTACAGTATATATTACACATACTGATATATATATATAACATATATACGTCTTTGTAGTTCAGGAGGGTAGCTGCGTCAGCATGGAATAAACCTATTACTTGTTCCTATATATCTTTGTTGCAATTGTTTCGGATTATTACTTAAACAGATAATGTTCCCATTATTATTTTGTTCATAGTATTTTTACTCATACAGAATTTGTATGTAATGTGCATGGACAAATCAGTGAGAAAAAGATCAGAAATTGATTTGTTTAAATAAAACTACAAAACATAACATAAATACCACAAACAACAGTTTTCTCTGAAAATATCAAATGAATGTCTTTCAATATCTTGGTTGCATGGTAGGACTGACTTTCAAAGAGTTAAAAGTGTTATATGAAGAAAAACAAGCCTTACAGCCAATGGGAGATTCCTTAAGGACACTGAAGCAAAAAAAAAATTGCTAAAAGGAGGACCGTTTCAGTCCCTTTTAAATGGTGTGTCTTGAATCCAGTGAAATAGTGTGTGGATTCTCATTTTTTCTACCTAATTTCTTTTGTGATGTGAAAAAACTAGTGCTGTAATTTTCAATACAATCAACATTAATGGTTGGAAGTGAAACCAATGAAACAGCTGGATTCCTTTTGCTGGGTTTAGTTTACAGTAGCAAAGTAAGGCATGTCATAATTCCTTTTCAAGTCATTGTCTTCATCATTGGCTTTTTAGCAAACAGCATGGTCATTCACATTGTTTCTACAAGGAGCTCAGTGAGAAATCCGAAAAATGTCCTTATTTCTCACCTTTGCTTGGTTGATCTTTTTGGACTCCTAACGTTCTCGCCTTATTTTATCACCAGATTTTCCATGTCTAGCACAGAACCCATTACTTTGAATTGGTGTCTCATACAATACTACTTCTTAAATGTCTTCACCTGCATTGGGTTGTGGATGGTGATATTCATGGCGATTGATAGGTTTGTTGTGATCTGCTACCCTTTCGACTATGAGATGAAAGTCTCCAATGACCGCGTCCATAAGTTCATAGTAATCTGCTGGGCTTTTGCCATTGTTTATCCCATGTTTTATATTTTCCCCTTCGTGGGTCATAAGCCCTGCTATCTTATTACTTCTAGCAGCTTTCTGTGCACAGGGGCTGCCTTGGAGGCTAGCCCATGTACTGTGTCTATCTCGGTCTTTCCCAGATACTACAGGCTTTTCATGATTGCTATACACTTAGCAGGTGGCCAAATAATTGTTGCTGTCTCTTACATGAAAATTCTGAAGGAGTCCCGCAGTGCTCGTCTCACTGAAGCATCAAGGAAGGCAATGTACACTGTTGTCACACATGGCATTGTGCTGTCAATTTTCTTTGGGAATGCCTATTTGTTGTTTGTGACTGGCAGCTTGGAAATAAAGGACCCGGAGAAGAATACTGTCCTCACAGGTATCCGTCTCTCAGCCGATCTGCTGTATTTGAACATTCCTCCAACCCTAAACCCGATCATTTATGGCCTGAGGAATGAGGAAATGAGAAAGGAGATTTTCAAAATGCTGAAGAGGAAGCCCAAGATCAAGCCTGCTGGATCATGATTAAGATAAAACATATCTTTGGGAGCACTTCCAGGTGTGTTTAAAAGGAGGTATTTTCACTGAAATTTCTACTCATTCCCAAATAAAATATCCATAGATACAGATTTTGCTAGCTGTAAGAGTGAGTGCCTAAATTATAGTTTCCTTTTAAAATTTTGTCAACATTAAGGGAGGTAGTTATTGTTGTGCGGTTTTAAGATAAAACATGGAGCAAAATTGGCACTGAAAAAGTTTATCAACAATATTAATACTGCCATTCTGTATGACATTAAAGGAATGCACTGAGCAATGCATGAGGATGGTTGTTAAGCAAACTTTGCTTAATTTGTTCAGTCTCTGTTTTTGTACATTAATGTCAAATTTGTCAGACATTTTAGAACTTTGTCTTCTTTTATGTTTTTACCCTACTTTGTACTTTTTATGGTAAAGGTATATGCAACCAGTCTTACTACAGAATTAAGAATATGACTTTTAATTTGATAAACCTTTCCTTCATAATATTTTGAAAAAGGAATTTATGGGAACTGCACAATAACTAGCACCATATGACATTCCCTGTATGACAAGAAAACAGAATGAGATACAGAATTAAGTAACGCATCTTAAAATACTTATCACTCAAAAGGTTATGGGCTGTGAAGCTTGAAAGTAAAACATTTTACCATGAATTGCAATCTTTTTTTAAAATATACTTTTAAAGCAATGCTATGGGACAAATAACACCCTCTGGTTTGAGAGTTTCATTTTGCTTTGGTATGAGATTTCTTTCACTTTTCGTGGTGGCTACTCTTGAAATATATGCTTATACAGTATATTATACTCAAACAAAATAAAGACAATTGCCTGTATTTTATGCTGCACATAAACAGAGTATATTATTTGACACTCCAGATGTTAGCTTAAAACCATTTAGAAAATAAAAGGATGATTCATGCTTGTGTCTTTATGTGTATTTTCTTGATCATGGAAGAGAAAATCTCTTCTCAGAGTAGTTTATTTTACAGCTGAAGGTAAAACTGATTAAGTATCTGTACATATGGAATGTGGATACTGAATCTTCATCTTAGTTTTGTGAATTCAAGGTTTTATGGAAGGTTTTGGGCATAAATAACTGTACTCAAAACCAGATTGAGTCAAACGATACTTGAAGCTTATAATACAGTATATTACTATACAACCTGGTAGTATACATGTAGGCATACATCTTAAGAAAACAAAACTCCCCTTATTGAGATATAACTCAGATATTGTTAGAAGGAAAATTGGGTGTTGTCTTGCATGTCAATACTTAGACCAAATAATGTACAAAAAGAAAAATTGAATACATTTTATATTAGTTTTGTAGAAATATCTCTTTTCTAATGTATTAATATGCATTAGCTGTAAAATAAAGCATTAAATCTTTCCTTCATAATTTTAGTTTGAAAGGGTGTTTTTTTTGGTAAATCCTAAAACATGGCTTAACACAAAACATTATATTTGAAATCCTGCCTCTCAGAACAATCCATGTGATATTCAAATTACTCTGGATGCAGAAAGAGGTTGGACATGTTTTGGCAGAAGTGTCAAAAATAAACACAGTCCTGGTCTTTGTCAAGTAAAGTCTAGTTTTGTTTTGATTAATATCTTATACTGTAACAAATTAGCCGTTATCCATCAGAACCCTTTGGATTCATCTCAATGCTGAACCACTTAGAAGAAAGTGCTGTATTGGCACGTAATTCATAGACAGCGAACTCCAAGTTAATTATAAAAGCAATATAGAGAATTAATCAAAGATATGGAATACCTTTTTCTGATTTATATGACAACTAACAATAGCTGAACAAGCTTCTGCTTGATAATTACAGGGGCAATTCTAATAATTCTGTCCTTCTGAAATTTTAAGTAGATCAGCATGCAGTTCTTAATAAAAGTGCTGTTGCTTTACTGTTAGAAAAATGACATTTTAAGTAGCTGTGACTTAAGAGAGTAAATATATTATATAGAACTACAATTTAACTAATAATTGTATGCATACAAAATTTATTGAAGAGCATGGAAATCCTGGTCTGTAACACTGCAGGCATACCACACAAAACACACATTACAGTCCCAAACAGGCTTCTGCAGGCAAGTTTATTTCGAATAAGTAATAGGTTTATTCCATGCTGAAAAGAGAAGAGAAAACACATTTCAGCTGTGAAGCCTTCTTCAGGTGTGATGCAGCTACCGACCTGAACTACTTCTTTATTTATTTGTGTTTTTAAAGAATATAGATGTTTTTCACTGGACCTTATATGGTGTTTTTATGTTCACTAAATTTAAAATGTAAAAACCAAGCCATAACCAACTATCCCCCAAGAAAATAAAACTAAGAAAAATATCCGCAGATAATAGATGAATGTAATTCCAGTTATTAAATTTAAAGAACAAAGGTACTCATTACCAGGTTAATTATCCATTATACAGAGTAGTTCACGTAGGTAGCTGTGTCAGCATGCGTAGGCTGCAAAGGAACAGGTAACACAACGTTGTGTTTCCTTTCTTTTCGTTTCAGCATGGAATAAACCCGTAACCTGTTCCTTTGCATTATACAGAATAGCTCACACTAAATAAATAGGTCATCGTAATCTGTACAAAACCATTAAAACTTCCTTTTTGGGATTTTAACAATTTTGCAACATTCTTTTAAGACTGTCTAATGTACTTCAGAGCTATTTTTATGACAAGAATAGAAAAAAATAGTTCTAGTCTTTAGTTTGAACACCTTTATTTGTTAAAATGTTTTTATGTTTTAAAGTTCTTTCCACCTTTAGTGCAGTATTTTGTGCACCTACAAGAGTTAGAAAGAATTTAGACAGTTTCCATGTCCAGTATTAGAATGAAGGCCTTTTAAACATTATCCATTAAGATCTCTCCAATACATGATGAAGTATATCCCCAATATTTTTTGTTCAACAGACTCATTTTTAAACTATTGGTTGATAATTTGATAATCCATACAAATACAATGTGCTCACACAACATGGGTAGCTACAGCTGCAGCCATTCAAAATGAGTTTTGCGTGAAATTATATGCAGTTTAGCGTGGAATACCGGAGTACGTGATTGGCTGGCCAAAATGACCGACAGGTCATTGTTAACCATCAATGTTAAGTATATTAATAATTAAATAAAAACGTGAATTGGCAAACATGAATACTGTCAACAGTTGGAGTAAAAAACAGTTCAACCGGTTTAATTCAATTCAAAACACTTTATCAAGTGAGGCAATTTAACAGATGCCTCAAGACAAAATATTTTGTCATTAGAACCGAAAATAAAGCGATATTAAAAATACTACTAAAACTAAAATAACGTGTCTGGTCATTATTAACAGTATTAATTTAATAATAATTTCAAGCTTCTTGTATCTTTTTCAGTCATTTTTTTCTTTGGTTTTCATTACCTTCGCTTATTAAAACGCCTATTCGAGACACGATTTTTCAGATGTCAATAGCTTTGTGAACAAATGACACAGAGCCTGCAGGTTCAAATAGAGTGATTTGTGAAAAATTTCACAGTTTTTATTTAAACAATATCTAGTACCTGGTTGCATTTTTAGAAACCTTAGTTTGAATAAACCAGATCCCAGGTGCAAGTGACTTCATAACACGAGAAGGCATTATGCTAAATTTTTATGCATCAGTTGAAGCCTTCTGAAGTCTCTAAAAAACATAAAAATGTAACATAACAGTGTGTGGCACAATGGGCAACTGATTCTTTTAATTTTAAAGAAAATCAAAAATAATGTAATGCTCCAGGGTTCACGTGGGTATGCGCCCTTGCTGCTGCTGCCTCAGGTCTGCAACCCACCGTCGGGGACTCGAATCTGGGCCTCTGGCATCACTCAACAGGGACCCAGCCACTTGAGCTAAAGGGAAATCTCCCCTCAGCCTGGCAGCTGCAGTCCCTGCTATTCACAGGGAAGGGCGGGGACGTCACCGCTCTAGTGAGCCAGCTCGAAGAACCTGCAATGGTGGCCTTATATACGTTACACTCTCCCCCACTTAATTCGCCGTCCTCTGCAAAGGGCAATCTCACCCCACTTCTGACGTCAATGTAGGTTGTTCGAGCCAGCTTACCAGTGCGGTGACGCACCAGAAGGGAGGCGTCTTCCCAGCGTCTTCCCAGCTCTATGACTTAAAGTGCCAGAGAGGAATTGCTTGAGCGACATACAGAGCCGGAAAAGTTTGGTGTCGTCTTCTCTGCTTTAACGGTACACTCCTTGTTGAAGAATTTTCACCTTGAACGTTTGCCCACCAGCTAACATGCAGAAGCAAACTGAATACCAAATGTACTTTCAAGAATAGCGATTACAAACATTATAAAAACTATACTTGCTTTATACTTTATGGGGTGGAGCGGTGGCTTTATGGCTACGGATCTGTGCCTTTGACTGGAAGGTTGCTGGTTCAAATCCTGCAGGTAGCAAAGGAATCCTACCCCAGTTGGCTCCCAAGCAAAGCCCTTAACCCAAACTGCTCCAGGGGCACTGTACAATGGCTGACCCTGTGCTCTGACCCCAAACTTCTCTCCCTGTCTGTGTCTCTGTCTCATGGAGAGCAAGCTGGGGTATGTGAAAAGACAAATTCCTAATGCAAGAAATTGTATAGAGCTAATAAAGCAACATTATTATCATTATCAGTTTATTAAAACTAACACTCTATGGGCACTACACTGTGAGTAACGCTGTCCAGTAAACCTCTTTTCCAAAGATTTCACGGGAGCAAGGTCATGTAGCCAATTCACAGCTGGATACAATTTTATCAAGGGGTATTACATCAGTACAACTTCTATGAAATTCAAGTATTTTAAACATTTAATGAAAAAGTAAAAATCTTACAGCGTACACAAAGATTCTAAGCTGATCACGAGGAACACAAACCACCCGTTTGTTGCTCATAAAAAGTGTTTTTTAACCATCTAAGCCAGTTTTTTACAGCTTTTAAAGTCATGCAATGTTTATGCAGGGACAC